CCCCACCCCCCCCCCCCCCCCCCCCACCACCCCACCCGTCTCTAACCTATTCAATCTCTCAATCACTCTACTCACTCTCGCACACACAATCGGTACAGCAAGACAAACACTAACACATATAGAATATTTAAGAGTGAGTGTGAGACATGAAAACCACACACTATCGCAGACACACACACACACACCCACACACACATCCTCACACTCCACACCCACACACACTCACTCACACACACAACAAACTATACTACACACACACACTCTCACTCCGCACACACGACACACAGACACGGTTTACACCAGACCACACACACTCACAACACTCCCACACTCACACACCACAACTCACACACACTACACACGATTCCACACACACACAGGAACACACACACACACACTCAGCACACAAACGGACACACACAACACACACACTCACACACACCCCCCCCCCCCCCCCCCCCCCCCCCCCCCCCCCGCCCCCCCCCCGCCACCCCCCGCCCCCACCAAACTCACTCTCACACAAACACACACACACACACACACACACGACACACACACACACACACACACTAACACTCACTCACACATATATATAGATAGATAGAGAGATTAATAGAGAGGAGGATATAAAGAGAGACACAGACACACACTACACACACTACTCACACACACACACACTCACTACACCAACACACTCCCCCTCACACACATACACCACATACACACAAACAAACACCACACACACACGACACACACAACGACACACACAAACACACACACTCACATGATACACACGACTCTCACACCACTCACCTCACTCACACACCACACATACACACACTCTCACACACACACAACCACACACACCACAACACACACTAACTCCACACACACTGAAACACAAACACGGGTATACACACACCATACACACCACCCACACACACACAATCACACAGACAACCTCCACACACACACACACACACACCACACACACACACACACACACACACACTCACATACACTCCACACCACGATACACTACACACACGACACACACTCTCACACACACACACACACACCTCACTCTCACACCCTCCCACACACAACACACAATCGACACACTCACACCACACCACACTCACACACTCCCACGACTCACACCAACACCCCTACACCCTCCCCCCCCCCCCCTCCCCCCCCCCCCCCCCCCCCCCCCCCCCCCCCCCCCCCACCCCCCCCCCCACCACATAACGAAACTCTATCTGATCACACACTCTATAACCCAACTATATATCACAACACTCACTCACACACCACACACACTCTCACACACCTCACACACTACTCACTCACCCACTCACACACACACTACTCACACACACCTCACACTATAAATCACACACAACACACTCTCACTCACTCTCACTCTAACACAGTCACACCTACACACACACTCACACATAAACAATAACACTCTAAGCGTTCTCACTCACAGACAACCATACACACACACTCTCTATCTCACTCTCAAACACTGCACACACACACACACACACACACACACACACACACAGACAAAACACACACACAGCACACACACACACACACCAAACCACTCCTCACACACACACCTCACAGACAACACAACCCCACCCCCCACCCGCTCACTCTCGCTACCAAGGACCGAAATGGTTCCCAGGCCCGCACTGATAGTCTGTCGCACTGATGACACCCACTATTAAGCCTGATGATTTCCCTCTCTGTTTCTGCCGATTTACATTTCAATCTGTACGTCAAACAACTATCCCTATAATCCCAATCCACATGAATTAAGTAGAACATCAGGATTCGACATGTACAGTCGAAAAAATTAAAGCGAAACTGCACTGTCACTGATCGAAAACGGAACACCACTTGGGTGAAAAAAAAGAAAGAAAGAAAAAGAGAGAGAGAGAGAAGAAGAAAAGAAAAAAAAAGAAGAAGAAAAAAAGAAAAGAAAAATAAATAAACAAAATATAACGCGTGAGATCTCTGTCCCGGGAGCTGTGTTGATCAAGAGTTCCCTGTCTCCTCCACCTTCAGAATGACGACCACCTCCGAAAAGCGGCGCCCTCACAAGACGACCAGCATGCGCGAGAGGGCCAAGATCGTGTGGATGTGGATGGGAGGCCGATCCGCGCGCCACATCGCCCTCGAGACCCACACGAGTCTCTCCACCGTGTACAGGTGGATTCGCCGCTGGGAGGAGCACGGGAACGTCAACACCAAGCCCCGGAACAGCAAGCCGATCTCCGCCTGGGTGAAGAGGATGG